GCCTTCAACACCGAAGTTCCAACAATTTAAATTCGGTTTGTTATCACTCCTGTTTTGGGTCAAGGTATTTACTTGCTCGCTCAAGTGGTTTAGACGAACAATTACTTGATCCGTGGCTCTTGGACTTGAGCAGCTCTGACTGGGTGTCTTTATGAGTTGCCTGCTGGGATGCCTTGAATTTCACCGCGGACACTAGAACGCTTTTAAAAACCTTGACATCCGCCACACCGAGAGATTTCGATATTTCGTGATCACGGATGTCATTAAGGAAGTACTGTAGGAAGAGAATTCCTCTTGTTTCTGTCTGGCATTCGAAAGGCGAAATGAGACAGCCTTTCAAAATCTGTGGAAATTTTCTGGGGTGTTTCCCTGGGATCCTGTTGACGGGATTTCAATTCAAGGCCTGTTTCTATTAAACACTTCTCGCCAAAACGCAGCTCCAACGGTCTGGAGAGAGCTTCAAAGTCTAGTCTGTGTTTTTCTGGAAGAGTCTGAAGGATATCCGCGACGTCTACTCTCACTGAAGTCGTGAGATGACAGCTTGGGAATCACGTTAGTTTTCATCCGCCACTAAAGAAAATCGTGTTTCATATACTTCGCAGGAGATCTTACCTCCATATATGTGGATGGAATTAAAGAGAGGCTAGAAGGCACGGATAAAAATTTAAAAACATCAGAATTGCTTCGTGCTGTCTCTGTGTGTTTCTTTAAGATATCAACTTCTTTGGTGACGCCAGCAGAAACACTGTGTTCAATTTGCTGTTCGATTTGTTCTTGGACGGCAGAAGCTCTTTTTTTCAGTCTGAGTTTCCATCGCGGAAGCTCTTTCTTAAATTTCTCCAACTTTGTCTTCAACCGTGTCTATTCTACCTCCCATAGCCTTGAATTTGTTTTCTATTATGCATGTAATTCCTCTTTTCATTTCCCCTCTGCCTGCTTCAATCTTTCTTGAACACTTTCTTAAGAGAAATCTTTAACAGTTTTTTGAACAGATTTCATGTATTTTTTGACTTATTACTGAACAGCTTTCATCTTTTCTAAAATGTAGCAACGGTAGTCCCGAGCTCTCTTAGTGGCTTATCAATCGTTCTGGCCACCGGCATTCGATCCCACATCTGACAAAAATTATTGCGTTCTTACGGGTTCGCAATAGCGTGGATGCAAAGGTCCGATAATAGGCTAATAATTTTTTTATCAAAAGTAATGTTTCAAAACTTTGGAATTTTAAACAGGAATATTCGTACAAGCGTTTACAGTATCACAGGGTACAATCAGTAATTACGCTTCAAACTCTTAGGAAAGTTGAACACAAAGCAATGCAAAGCGCATCTAAAGAAAAAGCGGATATCTCAGTTCACTCGGAACTAGCAACTCGCCACTACAGTAATTATGCAACTGAGAGCAGATGTTCTCTCTACCACCTTGAATAATTTTTAATGAGCCGCCGATATATTTCTAGCACTTTCAGGTTACTGGTAAGCAATACGAGGATGGAATTACGGTTACAGCTAGCGTAGTGGTCAATCACATTTATTCAATTTCAATACGTATTATGGTGATACAGGGATAAACCAAAATGTCGCCAAGTTATTTCCAAATTTAGCGATTTTTGGCGATTTTTCGCCAAAGTCGACGAAATTGTTATCAGTTTGGCGATATCTTGCCCAATTAACGAGACACCCATGTACTCAATGTTAAATGCATTTGCCCCTGTATCCTTACATTTCCGGCATAGCTTCTCTTTAGATTTTTCACGTACAAAAGAAATGCAACAATTTTACTTATAATTCTACTAAAATCACGAAACTAAACCAATCCCTGAATTAAGGATTACCTGATACGTTCATAAGTGTATGGTTCCGAATGTTGAAAAAGGCTCGATTGTTATCGAAGCTAAAATGAGTCCTTTGTATTGATTATGTCCGAAAAATCCCACTGATATAAAGAAAAAACCACTAGATCCCAGGATATTAATTGAAACTTGATTTGAGCCACGTGTAGGGCATGTTCCCGCCTACAATTAAGGAGAAACTCTTAAATCTGAAATACCTATCTTTTCTAAGGGTTACCCCAATAGGGTAGCAAATACAGATTAATCTAATAAAGCCATTGATGTAAATGACCAGACTTCATTTCCAATACTCAATAGAGCAGATATAACAAAAAACAGAAATGCTCAAAGAAAAATTCTGCAAATAACATCTCTGAAGCTTTTGTAGATTTTATGAAGATCATTCTCAAAATAAATAAGATTTTCAGTGACTATTACATATTCGATGTAATTGGAACAATCACTGTCCTCAGGGATGAGGTTGTGCTTCTCTCTCTTCTAAGGAAATTTATCTGGTGTAAATGGAAATCATGTATGTGTGATATTGTGCTGAGAGTTGTGCTATCTGCATTTACTTTTAGTCTGTGGGAACTTTAGTAGTTTTGTATTTACACGTAGCTCATGTATTTGCATGTATGTGTGTTTTTCTCAGTTTTCTTACGTGCTTTCTATTTCCATAACTGCTTTTTACATGCCTTGCTTCGCATTTTTACGTCTTCAGCTCGACCGCCAAGTGTATTTTCCGGACTTTTCTTGTGAATATTATTAAGTTTCCTTAACTTAAGGACTTTTGTAACCACTGTTAAAATCTTCTTTTCAGTTCGTCTGAATAAAATCGAAAATGCATGTTTTTTTAATGTAGGTATGGTCAGTGAACCTAGGTATTCCGGTGTTGCACCGCTCTACTCAGGAGCCCGATCATTGTATTAGTTTTATTGCTTCCTATCTCCAAGACAGAATCTTTGCAGTGAAAATTGGCAGTTCTGTTTCTTCCACGAGAAAAATTTTTGCTGGAGTGTCCCAAGGATCTATACTTTCTCCACATTTATATAACATTTACATTTACGATATTCCTAAGGACCCACAAATTACCATTGCTCCTTTTGCTGATGATACTGTAATTATGACCCAAGCTTCTACTGTTACTGTTGTCCAGCTCCTTCTTCAACATTACCTCAATCATCTAGAAAATTGGCTCACTCTTTGAAAGATTGCAGTTAATACCGAAAAATCAAAAGCAATAATTTTTCGCAAATGCCAAACAAATTTTACTCCACCTAGACCTGTTCTGTTTGATGAAGAAATTGAGTGGGTTGACGAAGTTAAATATCTAGGAGTCATTCTTGATAAAAAAAATTGACTTTTCAGAAACATCTCAGGGATCTGCGAAACAAATTAATATCACCCTTGCAACTATGCGCCCACTTCCTGACAGAAGAAGTCATATGTCCGCTTCTAATAAACTCCTCTTATATAAATCTATACTTCGACGAGCATTACTCTATGCTAGTCCTGTCTGTGGCCACGCTGCCAAAACTCACCTTCATCCAAGTTCTTCAAAATAAAGCACTCAAAGAGATTGTCAACGCGCCATGGTTCATTCCAAATTCATATATCCACCTTAATCTCAAAGTTGATACAATTCAAGATTGTATTCAAAAACTTGCCAGAAATTTCTTCTTTTCAGTTCTCACTCATCCTAACAACTGCATTAACTCTCTTAGATGTTCCCCATTTCACAAATATCCACATCTGGACATTCTCCATCCTTAATATTTTTTACTTATACTAAATTCTTCAGTTCACTGATTTGGACCTTCGACCAGAAACTCACCTTTTTCGTCGACTGATGGCGGCCAGCTGACTTTTACTTTCGTCTTTTTGTTTTACTGGTGTTCTTCATGTGATACAGTGTAAAAGGAGGCGCTGCTTTCTGAAACTCAAATTCACTATAGGTTCTTAGTTAGTAGAAGTCTACTCAGGAGTAGTAGTGATCAAAGGCTTTTAATGTACGAGTTTCTTCATAGACACATAATAGGACTTCGATGGGTTTTAGTAGATCCTTTAGTCGATCAAAAGGGTCATTAAGGCTCAGGTTTCTTCTACAGGCTCCTAGGCTGGGAAAGCCATGTCCTGTGTGTAGCGTCGTGTAGAAAAGCATATCTTTCCTGGCATAACATAGTATAGTTCATTACTGAAAAAAAAAAAAATTCTCGTGATAAGCAATGAATGAGCCTTGCGTATATACAGTTCTAGGAGTCAGTCGAATCATAAGCTGGAGATGTCAAGGGCAATAAATGGCAAAAGCATATCTTTGATGTCGCATGCTACTGTCACGTCTTCCAGCGCTCAAATGAAGGTAGGATGACTTGAAGAGAAGGTCTATGAAGAGCTAGGAGGAGCTACTGGGTCACGTGGTCCAATGGTTGACCTGGCAAGAGAGAGCATAGTCTTGCTCGTCAGGCATTGGTGGGGGGCGGGGCTAAATTATAAATCTTACTTAGCCAGAATTCAAAATTACCACTCATTTACTGAAAACGCTGTGTATCAAAAACCATTTCGACAGCATTTGGTTTCTTCTTAGTTTACTTCTCCTTCCTCTCTTCTTCTTAAGTACTTCACTTAGTCACTTCTCCATAGTTCTTAATAGTGCGATATATCAAAAAAGCATTTTATTAAAAAAATTGAACAATTTTTATTGTAGAATATAAACTAACTAATTTTTTTGAAATTCTATCTTAAATATAGTATTTTTCTTTCTTTCAATACTTTCAATACTTCTTAGAACTCCCTTTTGATACTTTGGAAATTTCACTAACTTTTTATACCTGCATTTGTCCAGGTATAAAGATATTTCAAAGTTAAGTAATGAATTATATTTTTTTGAACTTAAGAGAAACAGAAATTATCAGATTGGACGATTTCATCGTAATTCGATCTACTACGTGGAAGTATGAGATTCATCTCTTAACTCGTTCGTCTTGTGACACAAAATCTCTCTGGAATTATATGAACCAATCCCGTAGCGTAATCATTCGTTAGCTCCACCTCTAAATGCAAATGTTGCCAGATGTTGTGATTCACAATTTCTTGTTAGTAAACAAAGAAATTCTGCTCTGTTTTGGTATTTCGTCAGATTTTACGAGATATCTCTGACATAAGGTATGGAACGGCACTTCTGTAAAACTGTATGAATCAAATGTATATCGATTTAAACTTCTAAAAAGGGAATTTATTGTTATTGTAATCTTTTATTGTAATTTATTTATTGTAATGAACAAAACAAAATAACAAAAACGTAGTTAATCATTCCATTAATTAGGCATTCCCGAGACGCATCGGAAGAATAGAATCTGGCCGTATAGAAAGAAGTGGAAATATTATAAATTGTTCTGTGCCATTTGCCGAAGTATTAATAGTTTCATGATATCGTTTTAAAAAGTATTTTGTTTTTATTTTGTTGTTTATATTTTTACTGGGAAATGCTATCTTTTAAATGTATAACATCATTTTACCTCAGGTACGCTTTCATCAACAATAAACAACTTATTTCTAATATTTCAGATGGAAATTTCAGTAATTATCTAATAGGATTTTTTGCAGTATCTGCGTGCAGTATGATCCTGGTAAATTTCTTATATAGAGTTATTTTTAACAATTTTAAAAATATATGCTAATTAATGTTGCATCTCACTTTTTCATGGATTGGTATTTTTTTTAAATTTGTTTGTTGTTATTTGCAATTTGTAGAATTCATTTTTTTCATTATACTAACATAATTTTATATTGTATTTATAGCACATCTTGTTTGTCAATTTAAATCATATTGTTGCATATACAGTGTTCACACACCTTAAGAATTTGCAGAAAACGTCCTGTAACCCTGAATTGAATCTGAATATAAAGCCAAATATTTTTTCATATGATCTTCATGTGATTTTAAGTAAAGCTAAAATTTCTAAATGACTGCCTTTTTTTTTCTAAAATTGAAAATGTAAAGAGGCATGGATTAAGCATGCCACGAAAGTGATCATACGGTGAAATATTTTCATGAATAAAATTATAGTCTACCACTTTTTTTGTTTATTTTTGCATTTTGGTGACATTTAAAAAATTGTTAGGCTTTATTTTTTACTTGCTTACTTCATTATATTTTATTTAGTGTTTAAAACTGTATTGTAACCATAAGGAAGCAATGAACAGCATACAAAAATTGATCATTTTTTTTTTTTATCATAAGGTTGGAAATTCAATTCGGGATATCGCCAAATTATTAAGTTTATCCCATTCTATGGTGCAGTATGTTATAAAATGCTCTAAAGTAGAAAATTGGATTCAAAATAAAGTAAGAAGTGGTTATCTGTCAAAGAGCATTCAACATGATCAGTAGTTGGAAAATCTGTGAAAAATTCATGTTTGAGTGTTGTAAATATTTTTACGGAATTTACCAAAAATGTTTCTACTTTAATTTCACTTAAAAGTGTTTGACAGGTGCTCAGATCAGCTAGATTACATGGGTACTCTGCTTGAAAAAAAAATTTTTTGAAGTGCAAAAGATAGAAAGCTTAGGCTTTTCTTCTTAAAATCAATGGTAAATAAGCCTGAAGCATATTGGAAACATGTTTTATTTGCAAATGAAAGGAAATTCAACATTTCTGGAACCGATGAGTGTTTAATTATATGAAGGGGGGGAAATTAAGAGCTTAATCTCAAAACCTTGGCTGGAACTGTAAAGCATGGCAGTGGAGGTGTTCTAGTATGAGGATCCCAAATCCTGAGTGAGGAGAGGTGTTCTAGTATGAGGATCCCAAATCCTGAGTGAGGAGAATCATCATCCAATACCCTTTAAGTTTGGGCGCCACTGTAGAGTCATTAAGTATTTTTTGGAAGCAGGAAAGGTGAAAAATGAACAACGCCTTCACTGGGAATCGAACCGTGGACCTCTGGATACCGGCCAAGTGTGCAGACCACCACGCTAAGAAGGTGGGAGAAATACCTTATACGGTGATTAACTTGACTGGTATTACGGCAGGTAAATGGCTGTAACGGTTCCTTGTGACACTTCATATAAATGCTGTCTAGGATACTATGCTAGATTCCCATTCCAATTCTAGTCTTCAACCGTTATAATCCATGGCATGATTCCATGCATTGCCACACCACACTGAAGAGAATTATGACTACTGGCTGTGTCGTTAACAAGGACAGTACTCATACCGGAAAGGCACATCGGGAGGACATATAATCTTTGCACATATGGAATGATATAGCACTGAACATTCTACGATGGGATGATATAGCACTGAACTTTTCATCTCTTCGGTAGTGCTTATTGCAAGGGAGAATGCAAATTTCTCAACTTATTGCTCATGCTTAAATTTGACTGGAAAAAATTGAATTATTTATCTGTTCGAAAAATGCTGATATTTATTATCTTTTAATATATTAAAAAAGATTGCATGTATCTCCAGGCTGTCAGTGCATTATACAAAAGTTGCTCTAGACTAATGAAAGATTATTAGAAACTTTCTTGTGTAGTCAAAAGTCGTTAATCCAGACTCGTCGGGACTTTGGCGATTCCGGATTATAGATCATCAGTTTAAATCTGGTAAAATGGCATGCAGAAATTATAAAATTAAAAATATGAAACCGTAATTTATGAAATAAAGAGCAATTATGATCTAAAGGGTATCAAAATTTACCAAAAAAAAAAAAGCTTAATATTTATTTGTTTACTTTATTAAACTAATTACGAGGAATTTCATTTAAATCATATTAAAGACGGAGTACATCAAGATGAAATACTACATTGAGTAAGGAATTATAAGCCAAATAAAATAAAAAATCTGCCCTGAAGATAAGGATAGTGCTGACAGATCAACTTTCAATTCATTGCGCGCCGCAGCGTTCCCCCCGCAGAGCAGCGTGAAATTGATAAAACAGATTTCGGAATGGTTAGATAAACAAAGGATATGTCTTTATCCATTTTTTGCAGCAATTTCACTTTTTGTGTAATGGACTTCGAAACATACTTTTGCTTTGTAGATCCTTTACATATTAGTAAATATATATCAGAAATTCTATTTGACATAATCGAAAGTTCAAGCTTACTTCTATAAAGTTGCTCTAACAGTCTGCAAAAAATAATAAGCCGGATCCAATTCGAAAATTAAGGAGCAATGCAATCTGCAACATTAACTGAATTAGATAATTTTAGCTTAGCTGATACTGTCTGTTATACATTAAATGTATTTTGCGTATTTAGCTTAGCTGATACTGTCTGTTATACATTAAACGTATTTTGCGTATGCGCACACGCATATTCGCAGCCGTAAAGGTCTTACGACCTACATTACTACGTCAATGCGACGCATGCGCAGAAAGTTTGTAGCCTTGAGGTCCGAATTAACGACTTAATTTGACTGTATTGCTATTTTAAAGAAGATTCCTTACTTCAAAGGTCATGCTAACATAAATACACTATATTATGAAAGATATAATCCATGCTTTTAATATAGGTGTTAAAATATTTTATGAAGCCTAAAAAAATTTTTTTATTAATCTAAAAAAAAAAGCAGTTAACAATATATGGAAGGAACATAATGTTTGCTTGGAAGAACTGCTGGGCACTTTTGAAATTTGTGCAGTTTTAAAATTAGAATATTTTCTAAAATCAGTGTTGTTAACCAGTACATCTCGTCATTTTAATTACATACCTGTTGTCTTTAGCGTAAAGGTAATAAAAAACATAATACACATGTAAATTAAAATAACATGCCGAACAGCTATAAACCTTTGAAACTTGTCCTGCAAATTTGTGAATATTGTGTTGATTCTTGTTGCTTTTATATCTCCAATAATACACACCTTTGAGGCTTTATTTTTCTGTTGTATCCAACATAATGACTGAATCCCCCCCCCTTTTGGATAAGTTTTAACTTTTTGGGCAAAAAATTTTTCTATAGCAACTCAATCATAACGACTGATTTTTTAATTTTTTTTTCCACTTTTGAGAGTCTTTAATTTTTTTGAACAAAATATTTTTCTATACCAACTGAATAAAAAAGCAAGGAATTAAGAATAATTTTTAAATGCACTGCAAAAAGCATTGCAAGATTAGAAAGTAATTAGGTTGATCTTTAGAATATGGTAACTTGGTAGTTTGGCGACATTTTGGAGGCGATAAAGGTTACTACCTGGGACTTTGGTAATAATGTGAGCAGTACTCAGTTCCGATTACGCATTATTTTGTGTGAGGGAAATGAGAGATCATGGGATATGTCATGTGATATTAATGGACAAATTACGGTTCTTTAATCGGAAAAGGGGGAAATCGGGAAATTTTTGTATTTGACTTTATTCTGTGTTGTGTGAAACAGTGTTCGTTAATTTTTGGATCCCATGGCCCTAACTAAAGTGAATTCGAAATGGGTATTTAGTGGGGATTGAAAGGGGTAGTAATAAGTGTTTCTTTAAGGTTGTGCGAGATAGAAGTAAAGATGTTTTATTAAGTTATTTATTTTACCTGGTACCTGCTGTGAATATAAGTATGATTTTAAAGATCCTGAAACAGGCGCACATACGCTGCTTTTTATTTAGCGGAGGAAATAAGAAAAGTTTATCGGACACGTAATCAAGATTCTGAAGAAGATTAGGTAAGTTAGTATTTTTAATTATTTGAGGATATTATTTTTATTGCATTGTTCTAAATGTAAGGTGGAAGTAATAATTTGGTATTACTATTGGGAAAATTGTTATTAGCAATGATTTAGTTTAAAGTAATTAGGATTGTAGCTAATTTTTATTAATTTAATGTATGTGCTTATTTATTTTAAGTATGTGCTTTTTTGATTTAATTATATTTAATTAAATGATAGTTATTTGTGAATTTTATGTTTGTAGGAATTTGCTATACATTTTAGTTGAAGTAAACGTGCTGGAAATAATTTAAATATTGACACTAAGTATTTGTAATGTTTGCGGTATGAATTCATTGGTGACATTTATAATATAATAGATAACTTAGAGGTAAAAGTTTTTGGATATTTTATTTTATTTTATATGTGGAAATGTTCATATTTGGAAAGGGTCCTTTTTCGTTATTAGGTAATTTCATATATGTTCTTTTTAACGGGTTTAAAGATTCAGAAAATTGTCATGCATTTTTCATGAAATTTTCTAATTTATGAGAAAAAAGGAGTGTACATGGATATGTGAAGAGTGTGCGCAGTGCATTTTTGTGCAATTCTGGGATTTTTTTTTAAGTAAAAAAAGTTGACGTTGTACATGGTTTAGTGATATTTTAATTAAATGATAGTTATTTTGTGAATTTTATTTTGTAGGAATTTGGTATACATTTTAGTTGAAATAAACGTGCATGGAAATAATTTTAAATATTTTACTAAGTATTTGTAATGCTTGCAGTATGAATTTGTTGGTGACGTTTATAATATAATAGATGATTTAGAGGTAAAAGTTTTTGGATATTTATTTATTTTATATGTGGAAATGTTCATATTTGGAAAGGGTATATACTTTTTTCGCGATCAGTAATTTCATATATGTTCTTTTACCGGGTTTAAAGATTCAGAAAATTGTCATGTATTTTCGTGAAATTTTTCTAATTTATGAGAAAAAGCAGTGTACATGGATATAGTGAAAAGTGTGCGCAAGGCCATTTTTGTGTAATTCTGGGATGTTTTTTCAAGTAAAATAAGTCGACGTGTATGTGTATGTGTTATTTTTGAAAAAACGCGTAAGAAGTATGGTATTGTGCACTTTTTCCCAATTTTGCAGTGATATTTGTCATGATTAAGCAGTTTTGTTAGATAAAATTTCTAGCATAAGTGTAATTCGGCTAGTAGATTGTTGGAAGAAGTGTTCAGTAGATAAAAAGAAAAGAAACATGTCTTTACTTCGTGAAGACAAAATGGCGGCCGGGAAAAAAAAAATAGGGGGTTACTGTAGGAGAGTTGGTCGCCAAAAAATCGCCAAGTTACCATAATCTAAAGATCAACCAGTAATTATTTAAACAAAATTAATTTTTCAATCATTTCTTAAAATTTTGAAGACATTTGTAGCAGATGAGATTATTAGGGTCCCAAATTTTCATAATTATGTTGATATCAGCAACTACAGACTAAAATTAAAATGTCCCCCCATTCCCCCAGTTTAAAAAAGGGATATATACTATTATTTTAACGGAGCATACAAAATAGGATGTGTACATATGTATTGTAAAATAAAAATAATTAATTTTTCTCATAGTTTCTATATTTGGTTATTTTTTTATTGTACGAAAAAATTATGTAGCGGAATTAACAGAAAAATACCAAAAATTTTATTATTACATGATATGTAAATACTGAAATTTAACATCTAAATTGCTCTCATAAAATAAACTATATTTTCTAGTAGTGTTATTGAATGAGATGAAATTCATGTATTAAAGACGTGTTATTTCTGTGCTTACCTTAAGTTTAGTTTGTGTTTACTGGAAACTTTAATTGTCTAAGCCAGTGATCTCCAAACTTTTTTGATTGTGTACCCTAAAACAAAAATAATTAATAGTTGTATCCCTAATATAATGGGGTATTACTATAGATTATATTATGCACTTTAAAGCAGGTGTATTTATGGCTTGCACTCACATGATACATGATCATACATTCGCAAGTGATCATGAGCCTACTTTTTTTGTGGTACCTCCAAGTATCATTTTGCGTACTTGCTGAGGTATGTGTACTCCTCTTTGAAGTACATTGCTTAAACTATCAAATATATAGTATTATTTGTATGCTAAATATTTTTTTATCATAAAAGTAAATTCCTGTGGATTTCTATATTGTTAAAATGATACTTTTTTTTCCCCCTTTAATATAGCTTGTGCTTTCTTGAAAGTTAAAATATGGCTGAATTAAGTGATTCTGAACTATCAAATGATTGGACTATTATACCCTCAGTAAGTTGACTGTTCTATTATTGTATGATTAATTGATTGCCGAGGCAGATAATTCAGAATTTTCTATCTCAAGAAATTTAGTTTGTAGTAAATTTGAATATGAAATATTTCCAATGTAATATTTAAGTATCTTAAATTTCCATTAATAAATTTAATTTTACTAAATATATATTAAAAAATTAATACCATAGTTAATTATATAGTTTTAATTAAAAATTGGGTACTATTTGGTTTCGAGGGCCGTAAAATATCGCCAAACTATTGTTGATACCAGTGCTGCCAAAAGTAATTGCGGCAACCCTAACGCAAGAAAGGAAGTATAACAGTAAATAACTATCTAAATATTGATGTTTTAATTTGGATCAAAGGTTAATTTCATATAATATTTTGCTACCGAGTTATCGCTAAAGCATAATGTCATCTCATTGGTTGTTCAAACATAATTTTCTATAATGAATGATGCCTTTTCTTTGAAAACGTTTGCGGTAAAGTGCTGAATCACCCGCTTATTTCTTTGCCACTTTTTACAAGGGTAAAAACAATTGGAATTGTGTCAATTTTCTTTTACTTTTTAAGTGACAATAGGTCGATGTGTACATAGATAAAGTCAAGGGTGTGCACGGTGCAATTCTAGAATTTTTTTTAAGTGAAAATAGGTTGATGTGCACATGGATACCGAGTATGTGCAATTCTTAAAAATGCGTCAAGCAGTGGGTAATAAGTGCTTAAGTTACCGAGTTTGCACCATTTGGAGGTCTGCTGCATTACACCCCAAATTGTAAACAGTGATTCAATATGCATTGAAATTTTTAGGTATTTTTTCACTTGCTGTGTATTCAATTATTAATTAAAACTCATCATGCAATGTGGAAATAAACAGTAATGGCTAAAGGCTGTCAAATTATTTACAGTAATGAATATGGTGAAACACATGAAAATTCCTATCATAACATACACAATGATTTATATTTAAAAAATATATTAATTTTTCATTCTGAAGAATGCTGCAAATATGGGCTTGCTATCATGGTTTTAGAATTTTAGACTGATAATTTGTAACTTGCGTCTCGGAATGAGGAGACAAAACTGTATATTATTTGGATCAACATGTGTGAAAGATCAGTCAGTATAATATGATATGATTCTTGTAATATTTGCATATTCAAGCAAACGCACAAGTGTTCCAAAATAGTTAGGCAACCAAAGTTTTGTTATTATTGCTTCCTTATAATAAACACTGTGTAGGTCAGGAGGTCTCAACCTTTTTGTCCCTAAGAGCACATTCCAGAATATCTGTTGGATGGTGGGCACCATTTACTTTTTCGAGGTGAATTTATAATTGGATAAAGTTAAATAATAACATGCACATAAAAAAAGGAGATTGGTCGCATTTCGCTTTGTGCCGGTATCTGTGTTGGATGCAATTTCTGTTTCATTAAAAATGAGAAAATTTCACATAGAATTTTATTGAAAGCTAAAACATTTTTATTGTGATCGCATAGCAGCGGCCCCACCTTAAATGATCATTGGGTGCCATGGTGCCCGCGGGCATAAGGTTGGGAATCAATGCTCTAGATCTTTCCAAGGCCCACTGGTGCACGGTATCTCCTACAGTGGAAAACTGGTTTTAATGTATAGTTCCTACAGATATATATATATATATATATATATATATAAAGAATAAATTGAAATTGAAATTTTTTCACCTTATATAGTACTTAGCTACCCCATAATGAATACAGTTATTATTCAGTTACTCGTACTTAGTTTGATAATTACTTCATTCATTGTGTTTGGTCAGGGAAATTAAAAATGGAATTTCAGTGGGACCCTTGTTCAAACAAATTAGCAATTTTTTAAATTACATTAACTACGTATTATATACTAATTCAGAAGTCAAACAACAAAAATCAGCGTTATATTTTAAAAAATTTTTGAATTTCAATTTTTGAAAATATAACACTGATTTTTGTTGTTTGACTTCTGAATTAGTATTTATTCGGCGTGTTATTGTGTCTTAATTACCTATTATATGTTATGTGACTTTTGCTCTGCAAAATATTGTATAATGGTTCAGATAGAAATAAAAATCACTTACTGTAACTGCTATTTCTAAGAAAAAGTAGTACATATTAAAGTATATAATTTAATATCAGAATGCAACAAAAGGTAAAAACTAATATGAATAAGTTACATCATTTTGCTCCTGCCATTTTCAGTTTTAATTGCCTTATCACTAAAATGCATTTATTGTAATTTGACCAACCTAATGTAAATAATTATATGCTGCATTTATCTTCATCTGTGGGCAGTTGGATTATGATATATGAGACTTTTTTTTTTTCAGACCAATGAAGCATTAGAACAACAGTCTCAAGATACTTCTTTAAGTAGTAGGTAAGCTGAAACATTTTTCTTTATATAAATATTTATAATTATTTAAGACACTTATGTATTAGTTCGGTGCAAATGATTGAGACACTTATTCAATATATACGTAGCGTATTCGGAAACTAAGTACCGTTTCATTCTAGCGCCATTGCAGCGCTGTGCTAGGCATCCTGTGCATGCGCACTAGTCTTTCTTGTTCACTGACTTTCAGTTGTCGCCATTTTGGTTGCTCTATGTTGTGTTTTCAGTTTGCTGTGCACATTCAAAATGTTTAAGGCAATTAGTTCTCCCGCTGACTGTGAGATTCGTGCGTTGATTAAACTTTTGAACGCGATGAATGTTAAACCGGCCGAAATTTATTAAGTGACAGAAGTTTACGGTGAATACGTTATAAGTGAGGAATGGTGAGAAGTGGGTAAGAGTTTAATGCAGGTCGAACAAACGTCCACGCCGAGGCTCGGAGTGGTCGGCCTTCGTTTTTCACCGATGATTTGGTAAGGAAAGTTGATGAAGCAATTCATGAGAACAGACGCTTCAAATGACAACTCTTTCAGAGGCATTTCCACAAATTTCACGTACTGTTTTGTTCGAAATTCTGTCTGCCGCTTGAATTATCGCAAACTGTGTTCCGATGGGTTCCAAAAATGCTCACTGATGTTCACAAAACAAGCGACTTGGTAGTGCCCTGCATTTCTCATGTGGTACAGTGATGAGGTAGAAAACTTTTGGGTGTGTCATTTCACACCAGAAATCGAAACAACATCATGGAGTGGAGACACACTCATTCTCCGAAAAACAAAAGTTCAAGTGACAATGTCATCACAAAAATCATGTGCACTGTCTTCTGGTAGGAAAGGCATTTTGCTTACTGAATTTCTTCCCAGAGGTGAAACCATTAATGCTGGCAAGATATTGTGAGACTTTAACAAAACTAAGGCGTGCCATTCAAAACAAACAAAGAGGAATGCTCAGTAAAGAATTGTGTGCTCCATGACAATGCTCGACCCATAAATGCTGGTGTCACTCAATCGTTAATAATTCGACAGTTTCATTGGGAGCAGTCGATCACCCGTTACAGCCGGACTTGGCGCCATCCGATTCACTTGTTTTCCTGCACATGAAGCGCAAGCTTGGTGGCAAGCGCTTGGATCTGACGATGACACAAAAAATGCTGTGGAGTCATGGTTATCGAAACTGGCGGGAAGTTTCTTTGACGATGGTATACAAAAACTGGTCACCCGCTGTGACAAGTGTTTGGTCATTGGCAGAAACTATGTTGAAAAATAGTTTAAGACATGTATTTTCATGTAAAAATAAAATTGGATTCAAAAAAATTGTTTTATTTTTTTTTTTTTTTTTTCAAAACGGTACTTAGTTTCCGAATACGCCTCGTAACAGACATTATAAGCTAGGCTAAAATTATCTAAGGCATTTCAGTTAATCTTGCAGATTGTGCTGTTCCTTAATTTTCTAATTGGATCTGGCTTATTATTTTTTGCAGACTGTTAGAACAATTTTATAAAAATTAAGCTTGAGCTTTCGATTATGTCAAAAAGAGTTTTCAATTCTGGAGCTGCCAAAGGATCTACAAAGCGAAAGCATGTTTTGATGTCCATTAAACAAAAAGTGGAATTGCTGCAAAAAATGGATAAAGGCATATCCGTCTCAAAATTATGTGAGAAGAAAGTTTTGTTCATATTAGTATAGTTAAGAAATTAAACTTAAAATTTGTTGGAAAAGAAACATTGTCTATTTATTCTTTCGGAATGAAATACGCAGTACCTAAAACATATAAGGTTTTCGAATTCTGTGTTTCGGATGCGAAGCAAAAGAACAAAGTAAAAATCAGCTGTCTCGTCACTGACGCCATTATGGCTGCGTATATACCCGCCGTCAAACACACTAAAATGATGAATGAGTGCAGATTGACGAATCGCTTGTTATGTAAAATAAGCGTTGGAATTCTAATAGGTGTCGATTATTACTGGAAGATGGTAAGGGGGGAAAAGATTCAATTAGGAAAGGAAATTTATGTGATTTCTACTATGTTTGCATGGGTCCCAGTTGGCCTTGAAGGTAAAGAGAGTGAAATAGTATCTCAAAACACGGCAATAGTAAACCTTTCTTATTGCGTAACTGATTCATTGCGATCATTATGGACTGTAGATTTGATGGGCCTTACCGATGACTCAGCGATTTCTAACGAGGTGAGGGAAATGATTCAAAGCTTCAAAGGAAATACGGTAGAATAATAATACTAGTCGCAATGAAATAGCCATAGAAAAATTTTGGTTTCGATTTTTTATTGAAATAATTTCAGCATGCCATATTAAGAGCAAAAAGGATTATATTATCAGGTTCAGTTTTCTCCTTACTTTCTTTGGGAACATTCAAAACCTGACTCGGAACAGGGAGCTTACTAAAGCTATGTTCAATAAATGTGGGAAGTAGACAAGATACACAGAAGGGTATACGAAACCCTTTATTTTTCACTCTTTACAATGAATTTCCGTACTTCGGAATACAGAGACCAACCACTTGTGGTCTGAACGTAAGAATATAAAAATATTAACTAAACTCTAACTTAACTTTGGAATAATAAACAAGGGCCTACGTGGAAGATTGGCCGTATATTAACAGGAAGCCGTATGTAGTACAGAGAACTGTTAACACTACAATACGTTTAAAATTATCAAGAGGATTAAACCTCTGGCCTGGAAGGCAACCAGAGTAAAACTGCTAAGGCAAGCGGCCTGCTTCGACTAACTCCTTCCTCTCTCTCGCTTGGCAAAAAGCCACAACTTAAGTACTTGGCGTTCGCCAGACAAATTTGCATAAATAAGTTAAAGCTTTTAATTCTGGCCGGAAGTAGAAAATAAGAAGTGATAGTAAAGATTTAAAATAAAATAAACGTTAGTAAAACTTAAGATCCTTACATACTTCCCGCCAGAGTTAATTAGTTTGAAACTGAGGTCTAAAACGACCTTGTTGAAAACTTTTAGCTCTAGAATCTAACGCGAGGCCAATCTTTTACAAACATTTCTCACTAGAAACTAGAAATTTAAAAAAAAAAATTTGTTTTTACATTATCAGCTCCATGGACAATTACTTTCATCTGTACTGCATCTAAACAGGAGCTTTTAGTTGAAATCTGGTTCCTTCCAGAGATCTGGAAGGAAAACTAGTTTACACAATGTTAAATGGCAAGTAACATGAATATTTATATTTCTCTTAACATTCTTATTTCATTCATGACTTTATTTTAATTATCTCTCCCCGTGCTCTCTGACATGTGTTGTAAAAGAAACACCAAACACGAATGTGTTTATGTATACGTGTTCAACACTGCCTCCTACAATCAAAACACTAACGTGTTAAAATTCAACATAACAAGACCTCGTAACACACCCTAATCTTCATCTCTAAACCCTGAGGTACTATTCTGAAAGTGGCTAACTCTGAAGTGTAGCGTCAGAGAGCCTAACTACATTCATTCAACCTTTAACACATATTCACATAATTTGGTCTTTTTACAGTCACACGAATAAGTTTAAAATTTTTGGCATTACTTTCACTTTTACCATATCACAGTATTTCTTAACATTTAAAATAACAGTTCACATTGTATATAAGAACATATTAACATGCCGTTAATTTTACGCATTTTAAAACATACATTAGTAGTACATTGTTAACTTCTATTCTTTTCCAAGCAAGTGCCAATTCTTCTACATTGAAATACTACATTTCAAAAGTCTTTCAGACTAAAACTTCTTTCTTGCCAGAATGTTTTAAATAAAATTTATACACATAACTTTTACAATATTCAAGTATTTACACATTCCTATTATACATCAACTTTAGTTTTACTCGCGAGTAATTGAAAAACATAATACCAAAATAGGTAACAACTCATTTCTCGCCTTTTTGGCGATAAAGGTAGACCTCACATGAGGTAAAACGTTCTTGAAATCTGCCACTTGCAGTAAGAATGAAAGATTAACTTAAGTTTGCAAAGTAACATAAAATTTTACTTATCTTTGTGATATTCGGACATTCTTTTCTCTGCCCAGTCCTGGAAGGTAGCGAAGATTCGTGTTTGATTTATCCTCCTCCTTCTGTGCGGGCTCGCCCTTCAGTTCCTTCCTCTAGGAGCTTTCTTTTCCCTCCAGTTCGGTCACCCTTGAATACCTTCTTTTTCGCCTCTGCCTGTGGTCTTGGCCGTTTGATGGCAGCTGGTCTTGGCGGAACCGGGACACTTCTCTCTCGTTCCTGCTTGGATCTCGTTGCTGGCCGTTCAAATTTTCCTTGTATCTTTTCCTCCGCCGCTGGTGGTCCCTTCCGCAATTCGGCGACATTTGCTGCGTAGAGTCCTGTCCGATGAGTAGATCTTCCGTTTGGGAGCCGGGTTATAGTTGCCGTTATTTCTCCTGGCTCTCTTTGCATTCGTCGTACTTCTCCCTTCTTCATTCTGGGGGTGGTCGTGCGCTCTCTTTTCTGGTCGGTGGAACGGCTTCTTTTTCTTGTTACCTTCAATTTTCCAACGGGGAAACTTTCTTTTCAATTGCTCCTGCCTCCTAATGGCTTGCCCTTGTGCTTGTCGTTGTTCCACCTCTGGAGCTTGTGCCTGCCGTGCCTGCCGTGCCGGATCCTGCAAAAGATCTTTAAATATTTGCATTTTATTACGGTCATAGTATGGTTTTATTTGGTCAATGTTTGCGGAGCATGTTTCACCATTCCTGGCTTTTAACACCACTACAGCGTGAGTTATTTTTTCTATGACATATGGTCCTTCAAATCGTGGAAAAAATTTGGCGGTTTTCTTATCTTCTGGTGCTGAAGAAAGTGAATGCTTAATTTTTAATACTTCATCTCCTACTTTATAAGTTACTCCCGTCGTCGTTTCATAATCATAATAAGCTTCTGTTTTCTTTGTGCTACTTCAGTGTTCTTTTTTGCTTCTTTAATTAATTTTTCTATATCACCCATTTTAAATTCTGGGGCTC